TATATATATATATAATCCTATAAAACATTCTTATATACATATTAATAAGAAAAAATAAAATAATTTATCAAACTATCTGCAAATTACATATCTATGTACTAGCATAAATAATTAATCAATTTTAATGATCTTCAAAAAGTTAACTACAATACAGAATTATAACACAATAAATATCGATAAATATCGCGTGAGAAGACATAATTGATTATAAACAATCTAAAAGGATGATTCTGCATTGTTCCATTTTTATCACGTATTATATCATTTGTGTGTATCAACTTTTTGATAACATAATATTATTGTCCTCGCAGCTATTAGGAAGCAGAAGTGAAAGAAATATATCTGGAGAATATATCTCGAGATTATATCGGCAGGTATGTGAATGTATATCGCGGTAAAGTATTAAACAGACTTATCGAAAATGTTCCCTATATGGAAAGAAAAAAATAACTACAAATCATTTTTACATACATATTTTCAGTACTGTTATAAAAAAGTTTTTCTTTTCATAAATTCATTATCAATTGGAGATTGTTCTATTGCGATAGATAGAATCTACGTCTCTTCAAGAATGGAACAACATTACAAAATTTACGCCCTACTTTGTTTTATATTTTTTGAAATGTTCATCACTATCTAACGTATCATATAATAAGGCGTTTTCGATGTTTGGCTTCCTTTGCATATAGCGAAGAAGTGTTTTTTTTTTCCGAATCCTTCGTACATGACGGATCAGCTATTATGACTAGCTTGACGATCTCAAAGGCACCTGCTTCTCTGTCACTAATTTTTCATCATCTGTGTATGCAACAGGATAAAAAGATAATATAAAGTCGCGAAGGAATTACAAATTTAATTTCCATCAAACATTTCCATAAAACATAATATAATCACGGATATTTCCATATGAAATTATTCTTTAGAGAATAATATAAGAGAGCTATATGTAACATAAACATAAATTTTATATACACTCATATATACAACACATATATATATTTTTTATATAAAATCTATTAATTCCTCTTAATGTGTGTTTTTTTCTCTTTTTTGGGGAGGGGGAGAGTGGGAGGGGGAAGGAGAGCAGTAAAGACTAATGGAGTTGCAGGTTCCCACCAGATCTCACCAAGACGTTTACTATGAATACGGTCAACGTAATGCCACAAATGTTTTGAATTCTTTGATTAGTCAATTCGTAAAATTCTTTCCTGTAATTGGTCAATCAAATATTTCTAAGCACTTATAGTGAGATTTTGACCGTATCCTATGTGTATTAATCACTACACTGAATTTTTTATGCAAAAATGTACGCAGTTTATGTGCGTCTGTGTCCGTTTTTAGACTATATGTACTTATACAGTATAACCTTTAATTAAACGAACATTGTTATAAGTCGCAGGTTAATCATGCTCTATATATACAATATATATATAAATTGTACAAGCATGACTAATCCAAAATAATGTTGTCTCATGCTCAGAAAACATATCATTTAGTTTTATTTTGTACATATTTGTTTAAATAAATACATACGAATAATTATCACATGAAGTTATCCTCGGCTTTATGCCTTTTTTTATATATAATTGGAAATCACGGCTTATCTTTTATTTGCACGATACAGGATGATAGAACTTATATTTTATACAAAATACCTTAAATATTACCTTCCTGAAATAACGTAGAGCGTCAATGGTGTCTCAAAGCTGCCGGAAAATAAGAATGTTCCGTTTTCTCCGCTATAGCTTCCTACACAAGTTATTTTTACATAATATATTGCCAGATGTGACATTATAAGGATATTGAAAACGTCTATTTTGTGCTTTTATCAGGACAATTTTGAAGATTATTGACTTCTTTTTAGCAATATACGAAAAGTGAAATAAGCCGATATTTCCTTGCTCACATATTACTTTGATGTCAATACGATATAGTTATCATTTACCCAATTTACAGTCAAAATTTCAATTTCTAATGTATGCAAAATCATATCTGCATCATTCTCTTTTACAGAAAGAATATAGAGGCAATTTATCCATTAAATTAATGGAAATAAGCCTCTCTAGCGCAAGATTCTTTTTACACTGATGTCAATCAGGCATCGCATCATGTTGTGACGACGTAATCATACTGTAATCATTAATATAATGTTCGTCTAAGTATCCATCTTACACTACGCCGATTCTATATTTCGTATTCGATTTACGATGCCACAGTAATGCTATATGGCATTAGAATTCGTTCTATATGTACAGACACAGAGCGTTTAATAATCACGGCACCATTGCCTGATAACTACTGTCTAGCATAATCCATAACACTTTCGGCATTTTCTTTCTCGATGAATTTTCGTTATCAATAATTTGGTTATATTCAACGATACCATACGTGGATCGCGAATAAACAGTCTTCTCATCCGCCGAATTTCTCTCGAAACTCGGCTCGTGGCAGCATTTAACTTTTTGAGTGTACATTTGTTTTTTGTGCCTTCTTCTTTCGTGCTGCCAGCATATCGTAGAAAGGATTGTGCGATATACTTTGTCTGAAAATGAATAATAATGTTTGAATAATTTTTACACAATTTTGCTTTGTACTTTACTGTAAAAGAATGCAACAATATAAAGTACAAGCATGTAAAATTGTAATTTATTTGTCATTTCAACTTACCGCACGCATTTGATCCATTCATCCTTTTCTTCATCGGTAGCTGCAGACATTCGGTACACCGTATGTTTCCCTAATTATAAATAATTGTAAACAAATATTGGATTAATATATAAGTATATAATGTGTTGAATCCTTTTATGTTAATTAATTAAACTAAATTAAATTTTAAGCAATCGTACCTTCGACGACTTTTCCTTCGCTATCAGTCTTGCATGCTTTTATAAACTCGGAACCAGCAGCATACAATTCGAAACAGTGAGGTTTATGCCGGTCTTGAATCTCTCGAACTTGAATATTCTCTAGCGGAATGATACCGCGTGGTTCCTTGTCTGTTGTATACTCGAAATAGTATAAACAATTATCGTTCAATATGAACCATCGCCTCTTCCAACTCTTGTAACGTCCGCCTGTAACAATAAAATACAGAATATATAGAATTAAGAACCTATAATTTTCATAGAGATGTTATTTACCTGCTGTCTCCATCAGGGCAGCAGAAGGACAAAGTGATACAATGTAAGAATAAACGTTCTTTTAATGATGAATGTGACAAAAATTGAGAAGTATTTTACGAAATATCGAGCTTTATCTTTTTTTTTTATTATATCAAAAACTTTTGTGAAACGAAATCAAACGAATGCATGTGTATACACACGCACGCACGCACGCACGCACGCACGCACGCACGCACGCACGCACGCACGCACGCACGCACGCACGCACGCACGCACGCACACACACACACACATACTATAGTATATAGAGTGTCCCATTTTACAATAATGCATTAAGATTTCGTAAAAATTATGGTAGACACGGAAACATAATAAAAACAAAAGTTATATGGTTCGGCGGGGGACATAAGAAGGTACCATTGATTTGACCTTGGGTAGCGTCATCAAGGTCAGATCAAGGTCACATTGATTTTTTTAATGGAACACCTTATTTTTGATGGCAGAATTTAATAGCTGGTGTCAAGAGCTTTTCAAAACACTGTAATAAAGTTATTTTTCATTACTTACTTTTCGAGTTACAAGGCTTGAAAGTTACAGTCAGATACCTTGCGTAATGCTAATGCCGGTGGTACTGTAATTTTCGAAAAGTAAGCAATGAAAAATAAATTTATTATAGTGTTTTGGAAAGCTTTCGGGATAAGCTACAAGAATATGTAATGAAAAATAGGGAGTTCCATTTAAAAAAATCGACGTGACCTTGACCTGACCTTGGCAACGCCACCCAAGGTCAAATCAATGGTACCTTCTTATGTACCTCTCCGAATCATATAACTTTTGTTTAAAATATTTTTCTGTATCTACCATAGTTTTAGAAATCTTAATACTATTTAAAAATCTTAGAAATCTTAAAATTATTTAAAATGGGACACTGCATATAACACGCATGCGCGCGCGCGCACGCACGC